ATATCTGACTCTTTTAGTTTTAGGACTTACAAACAACCGTTATGTGAACAAAACTATAATACTCTCTTTAGCAACTTTGTTGCGAGAGTATAACAACAAAATAACTCCGAATTCAACCGCTAGCGAGTCGGAGCACCTATTGGAAGSGGAGGAAAAGTATGAAGCTATCATCGAATGCAAGCGGACGGACACATGCCCGAACGCTAAGAAAGAAATTGCATGTAAGCGTATCGAAGATGAYTTTAACTCAAAAGTGTCCAGCTGACTGCCATCGCAGTGAAAAACATTGAAAAAATAGTATCTTAATCTGAAAAGAGAGGTAAAAAAAGCGAGCTGCAAAGGATAAAAGATATCTTTATTTAACTGGAGGACCACCATCACAAAAATTGTTAACTGAATTTGATGAAAAGCTTTTGCATGTGTTGCATGAGAAGCAAGTTAGTGGCATGCAGAGTGTGTATGATGTAATTGCCGTAATAGTTTCCGAAATTAACCGAAAATAAGTAAATGTAAGCAAAACATTTGTTCGGGCGATAGTGCATGATTCCTAAAAGAAATGTATACATAATTGAGCCGTATAAGCCAAATTAGATGTACCACTTGGTTTTATTTTTTATGCTCATATTTTTCTTAAAAAAAAAATATCTTATTATTCTTCTTTTCACAAATAACTGAAATTCAAAACAAAGTCAGCTGCTAACCAAACTTAAGTATGAACTGTAAAACACAATTTTCCTGTTTTATCTTAAGCACAACTTAATATGGACTCACAGATTTCACAAATCGGACATACATATATCTATCTCAAATTAGTGTTACAAACAACCGTTAGGTAAGCAAAGTTCTGTTGCAAACATGTTCGGGGAGTATAGAATTAAATTTGAATAATAGACCTTGAACATGAAACCAAGCTAACCCAGTCTCAGAACGTTAATCACCAAATACATAAATTGGTTATGATTATGTGTTATCTTTAAGCATAGTAAACGTACTAAAATTTTAACGCATTTTTTATAGTATTATATTAGAAGAGAAATCAAATAGGATAACCATTAATATAATCTTTTATACATTTTACAACAATGGCTTAGGATAATGTCAATTAGATCTTATATCTAAGCTACCCAATGCACATTCTAGACTGGAAACTAATTTATCGTTGCTAGGAATTTTCGATGACGTAATTGTTCGCACGCCTGCACTCTCCAACGCCCATTGCGCCATTTTTTGAGCCTCCTTGCGCTTTGACCCCAAGGCGCGAGAATTGGTAATGTAACTGCAACACTGAAAAACATACATACATACAAATTCAGATAAATGGTCGATATATTATAACATATCAAACTTACCAAATATAAACCATATAATGCACGCAAATTATTTAGATTTAATTTCAAGGCTTGGGAATAGTATATTCGAGCGATTTCCACATTCTCCATTCCACCCTAAAATAAATAAAATAAAAAATGATATCAGATAAATGAAAAATAAATAAACTTTGCTGCTAACGCTTCGTCAAGGATCAGCAACTTGACACTGTAAACACCAAAAGCTAAGACGTTTTTAATAAAGTGCATACATAAACTTCACGAAAAAAATTTTGAATCGAGACGATAAATATAAAACGATTTAAAAAGCAAAACAATTTTTTTGAACGGAGCCAATGTTTATTACAAAAAATAAGTTATAAGCAATTGATTATGGAAAGTCTGGGCTTATGTGCAATAATATATAATAGTGAAAGCGATTCGTTTTAACAACCAGCCTTATTAAAAACCAAATACACCTAATTCTGTTTTTACACGATAGAATGGTTCCCGAGAAATTCGTGTAAAAAAAAATCGTGTAAAAAAAGATACTGGCCAAGTACAAAAATAATAGATTGGTTCTAGACCTCAAAAAATAAGTTAAAATTAGACTAAATAATATAAAAAAAA